CACTTGCCCGCCGCCCGCCGCCCCTTGCTGCGCCTGCTGCTCTTCCTGTTGCTCCCAGGTGGGTGAGACATTCGCCGCCCCCTCCCCGCCGACCCGCGCCGCGGTCCGTGACCTCCGCCGCTCGCCTGACCCCGTGTTGCGCCTCTCGCCTCGTTGCGAGGGCCAACGCTTGAAACTACTCTAGGCTTACAGTTCTTTAATTTTTTTTGGTGAAAAAGAATAAACCCTTCTTCTGAATGAGCTTCATTCTCTGATCCTGATTTTGAAAAAAAGACACCGGCTCAAGGTCGTACTTATTTTCGGTCCTTTCTCTTTGTATTAATTTTGAGTTTTCACTACGAGATTAAGTTTATTTCTGACTGTGTTCACATATCTTGAATACAACAGCAAACGTACAGGATTTGGAGAATAAATGCATTCCAACTGGCGGCTGTTGTTTTAAGCTGTCACATTCTCCAACATTTTGTCGACGATTCGTTATATGCCTTGTATTAACAGTGATTTTTGGAAATCAGTGCGTGAAGGATTTTTGTGTCTGTATTCAAATGTTTTGACCTTTCATGACGGCTAACAGAGGGAAAGAATGTGACGTGACTAAAAGTGGTTGAGGCTGTGTAAATATTAGCTTTCTGCCCTTTGTTTATTTGTGAGACGTCCTTCAAAAGCACTTGATTCAGCAAAGCACGTCAAGCTTGCATCGACAGAATTCTCATTCCCATCTTTGAGGGTTTCGGCAATGCACATAGAACTTACTCGGAGAGTTGATTTTTTTGTCATAACAATATAATAATTACTATGTAAATGTATTCTATTTCCTGCAGTAGTGGGTTTCCTAAAACGTATAATTTAAACTATAATTTTACGATTTAAAGGGTTGTCATTTTATAGTATGAACCCTAATATAAGACGATTGATTCCTTTTGGTTCGTTATCTTACTTTCATGAGAAACTGTAAGTTTGTGATGTTTCATTGTTTGGATTTTATGACTTTGCATAATGCATATTTTCAGAGTTTTAAGGTAACGTATGCAATTTATGCAAATAAACTTTCGGTCAAACGATTCTTTTTAAAACAATCTTGTTTACTTCATGATTTGCATTTGCGTGAGATACTTCGTTCGTTAAGTTTTTTTCAAGAACTTCACTCACGGCACCTTCAAGAATTGGGTCACATGCGTATAGCTTTTTCTTTAATATGTCTATGCTTTCCGAGAAATTCCGTGCTCACTTATTCGAAGTATGATTCACCCCAGTTAACTCCACCTGTGGATACTCTGACTTGGAAAATAGTTTCTCATATATTTTCTCGCTTTGAAACGTTTTATTAAATGATATAAAAATAAAATTACTTTCTTAAAGAAAATGTAAAAAATCTGCCTATATTCGTTTATTATGAAATAATTTCATTAATATAGATTTGTAAAATTCATGATTTACAAACAAGCTAGACTCATTTAGATAGAACACCTGAAAATGATCAAAAAAACTTGTAAATAGGTATAACTTACAAACTAAAGTGCATGGCTCTCCTTGACCCTTTTCCTAGTTATCTTGAGTACTGTCCTATAAATATGCCACAACAAACCATAAAAGTAGAATAAAGACATATTTCCGTGTGCAATCTCGGAATTATCACTTTCCAATAATTTAATGTTCGGGACACGTGATGTAAGTGGAAACAGAGATATGCAGGTTTCGTAATATTCCTGTGCGGCATAAAATTTAACGATAATTTTGTTTTTTATCGCGATGTTCCTCTGGCGTTTTATCGGCCCCTCCGCGGGCGAATTCCGCTCGGGCCCTACCTTTACGACGCTGCCCTTCACCTCCACTTCCACTTCCACCTCCACTTTCAGTTCCTACTCCACTTCCATCTCCACCTCCACTTCCCCTTCCACCTGCACTTCCGCCTCCGCCTCCACGTCCTGCGCCACTCGCACTGCGTCACACGGTGCCCACACACCTCTCCCACCTCTTCGTCCTTCTCCTATTCATCCTCCTCTCCTTCTCTCTCCTTCGCTTCCTTTTGCATTATTACTAGTTTTCTTCTTCAGGCGTTTTTATTTAATTGTTTTATTTTTGCTACTCGCTTCCCACTAGCCACTTCCCTTGACCTATTCTTCCTTCTCTTTTTTTACTTTCCTTTCTTCATCTCTTTTTCTTTCTCTTTGTGTTTAATGAAATGTTTCATATTTTTTCTTCCGCTGGTTGTATACAATGGTTCATTTTTTATATATCTCGCTGCCTTTTCGTCTCTATCTTTCTCTTGTTGAACTTCCGTATCCTCTCTTTTAACCCTGAATTGTTTCACTG